GGGGGGGGGGGGGGGGGTGTGGGGTGGGTGCAGAGCACTGCAAAGCTACCTCTGTCTCCTCCCAAAACAGGCCATGCCCACATCCGAGCAGGGTGAGCCACCCCTCCCCGGCGTCACCGCGGGTGCCCCATACTAACCAGGATGCTCTTGTACATGTTGCCGTTGTCCACAGCCAGGCTGACGCGGATGATGCAGCAGTCGTCGACCTGCTGGTTGTAGAGGGGCAGCGAGAGGGAGGAGTAGCTGGAGATGCCAGAGACTGAGCGCTTGTGGGTGCGGGAGGCTGTCACCGGCGTGGAGGAGACGGAGGAGGATGAGGCACTGCTGGAGCCCGAGCCGATGCCCGACGTGTCCAGGGAGGAGAGGGAGGTGGATTCCCAGAACTGGAGGGCAGGGAGGAGAGGGGATGCGGAGGACACAGTGGGTTTAGCTTCTCCGTCGGCCACAGACGGGGCGTACCAGCGCTGGGGGAGGGAGGCCAGAGGGATCTCACTGACCTGCGACAACGGGGGACCGACACAACTACAGCCACCGGCGGCGCGAGAGCCCTGCCACGCTGCCGGAGCAGCAGAGGGCAGGGGCCTCCCTAGCCCCAGTGGGTCAGAAATAGCCCCCGGGACCCCCACCCGCTCGCCCCAGCGCCGGGGCAGGGGTGAGGCAGTCCCCGCGCAATGGCCGCACCTGCCTCCGGAGGCCCGGACCCCGCGAACTGCCCCGTACCTTCTTCTCCTGGCAGTCGGGGGACTCGGGGATGAAGCTGATGTTGATCTCCTCCACGTCGGAGCTGCTGGAGCCGGCGGAGGTGACGCTCACCGAGTCGGTGGCGTCCCCGCTGCACAGGTACTGCCCGCACTTGAGCTGGTCGAAGGATTTTGAGTGGGAGCTGCCGCTGGCACAGGGCTCGCTGCTCGGCGGCTGCCGGCTGCCAGGAGAGACACAGGGCAGGTGAGAAGGGAGCAGAGCCAGGGTGCCCTTGGCTGGCAGGACAGTGGCCACCCCAGCCCGGTTCCTTCCCCACATTGCTCAGCCGGAGATGCCCTGCGCTGGCCCCCGCCTCCACCCCGCATCCCACCGGGGAGAAGCAAGACTCACTCGCTCCATCGTTTGATGATGCCCGTGTTTTTCTTCGCCTTCAACGTGTTGCTGGCCGACTCTGAGAGCGGCTCGATCTCGCACGACAGCCCGTAACTGGGAGGGGAGAGATGAGGGTTTGAGCTCTGTGCTGCCCACGGCTGCGGCGAGCGAGTGCCGGTGGGGCGAGGGGGGCAGAGGCTGGAGGGGAGCACGGGGCTCAGCAGCTGGAGGAGATGTACGAGGAGTGGCTGAGGAAACTGGGGGGGTTCAGTCTGGAGAAGAGGAGGCTGAGGGGAGACCTCCTGGCCCTCTGCAACTCCCTGACAGGAGGGTGTAGAGAGGGGGGTGAGTCTCTTTAACCAAGTAGTAAGTGTTAGGACAAGAGGTAATGGCCTCAAATTGAGACAGGAAAAGTTTAGACTAGATGTCAGGAAGGATTTCTTTGCAGAAGGGGCTGTTGGGCATTGGAATGGGCTGCCCAGGGCAGGGGGGGGAGTTCCCATCCCTGGAGGAGTTTGAGTCGGGTTGACCCAGCGCTGAGGGATCTGGGGGAATTGGGAACTGTCAATGTTAGGTTAATGGTTGGACTGGATGATCTTCAAGGTCTTTTCCAACCCAGACAATTCTGTGATACTGAATCTGTGATTCTGTGAGACAAGCAGTGGGACCTCCCGACCCACCGGCAGCAGCACAGCCCCCAACCCCACTCCTGCTCACCTCTCGGCCTCGCTGAGCCGCTCCAGGCTGTGGAACCAGTCCACGAACTGGTCCTCCTGCGTGAAGCTGTAGTTGTTGCAGGCCGACTGGAGCAGCTTGATCTGGGCGATGACTTCGAATTCCTGCAGCAAATGGAGGCCGTGAGACCAGATCTGTTTGCCAGCCCCAGCATCCTCCACATCCTGCCAGCCCAGCCCCACACGCTGAGGCGAATAAGAAGGCCCAGAATCCCCCTCCCCAAAAATGACAGCAAAAAAGGAGAAAGATAAATCCCAAAGTGACTGGCACATCCTCGGCTTGCACCAAGTCAGCCTCCTCCTTCCACCCTGCCGTGCTGCTGCCAGAGCAAAGCTCTCACCTTCCTTCTCTTCTCAAAGTTGATCAGCCCACCCTGGAAAAGAAGGGGCCAAAAGTCAGTGTGGAGCAGGCAGAAAAATATTGCTCTCATTCCTCCCTGTCCCCCAGCTCGCTGCCACTGCAGGGCGGGTGTCCCTGCCGAGTGGCCCCTTTCCACGGGCTGACAGAGGTGGATGTGTAATGTCAGAAATAGGATGCACAGTGTCAGATACAGGATGCACAGTGTCGGACATAGGATGCCCAGGGTGCAGTGTCAGATACAGGACGCATGGGGGACCAGCCCTCCATTTATGAGGCCAGGCTCTGGGGTGGCTGTGCAGAGGAAGGGGAGGACAGAGATGGAGGTACGTACATCCAGGAAATCCTTCATGGCAGTGTCGAGCATCACCAGGTCCGTGAGGAAGGTGCCAAGGTAGGGAATGGTTCCCTGCATCACACCCTGCGGGGACAGAAGGGACAGTGGGGTCAGCAGAGATTTGGGAGCAGCCCAGGCAGCCGCCGGGGAAGGGGCATGGGGGCAGCTGTGCCAGACCCACCATCTCTCGCTGCTGTTGCTGCCGCTTCTGAGCCCTCTTTGGGTTGATCTCCAAGGTGGCAAATTTGGAGGTGCCCTCCTGGATGGTGGAGAGAGGTGGGGATCAGTGTGGGTGGGAAATAAACTGCACTAATAGAGGAGCTAAAATTCACCCCTGCTTTTACTGGTACAACTTTCCTTGTAGAGAGAAAGAGGGATGAGAGGAAGACGAGGAAATCAAAGCTGAGCTTTTTCACGGCTCACAGGGAGGACAGACTTAGTGAATAGGAACTGCTGCTCCCGTTTCCAGCTCTGTATAAATAGCTCCTTAATGGGGTGTTTTGTTCCCTTTTGCAGTTTGTGTCCTCTCAGCCCCCAAACGGAGCTGGGTTGGGAAGCTGCAGAGAAGGACATTTTTGCTGCAGCCTTTCACGAACCCTACAACCCCACCTGAAATCAAGAGGACTTTGCACTGGGCTGTTAAAATGCAGCTGCCTCTGGGAAGAAGCCGTCACCCTGGTGCACTGGATCCTATCCCACTGCTTATCTCTGCTTGCAGAATTGCTTTGCAAGCTTCAGGCAGTGACGACTTCTGGGTGGAGAAGCAGAAAGTCCAGCCTGGTCCAAAACCCCCGCCTGCTCCCCAGACTCAGCACGCCCTGCCTGCACCCGTGCCTGCAAACCCGGCAGTGCTGCCAGGGCTTTAGCCTGGTGGCTGGAACACTGTGGAAACTTCTGCCAGCATCAGCCCGAGCTCGCTGCCAGAGACAGGGTGCTGCGGGTGCCGCCTCCCCCTACCTTAATGAGAAGCTCCCGGCTCAGCGAGTGGTTGTTCTCATCGGAGAAGATCTCTGAGAGCTCGTGGAAAGTGCGGAAGCTCTCCCTGCTCAGGGAAAAACATGGAGGGAAGTCAGCAGTGGTGCCACCCTGGGGTCTCCTCCTTGGGCTCTCTTCTGCTCACCAAAGGACCCCCCCCAACACTCACAGCTTGAGCGGGGCCTTGCTGTTCAGGGGCTATGCCAGAGTGTTTCCCACAGAAAGGAGGAGGAGGTGATGGTGCTTTTATTTCCTCATCCTCCTTAGGCCCCTGACACCTTACGCTGGTCCCTGGGTTTTGGGCACCCTCCAAGAGGCAATGCTGGAGCAGGGATGATCCCATCTACACATTCAAGGGCAACAGCCAGAGCACAACCTCCCTCTGAAACCCTCCCATGGCTGCAGAAGACACTGCTTACCGCAGGACCTCGTCCCAGGTCTTCTTCAGCCGGTGAACGGCGTTGCATTGCAGAGCCGAAAGGATGGCTCGGAGGGAGGAGAAGTTCTTCAGGATGCGGCACTCCTGGGGGCAGACAGGGAGAGACAGGACTCAGCGTTAAAGAAAGCCCAGAGATCTGCTGGGACTCACACACCGCAAAACCTCAGCCTGGGGCCAAGGCGGGAGGCGAGCAGGATGCCAGGCTGTCCTACCCGAGCCACTTCGATCCACCGCTCCACTACTTTAGCCCTCTGCTGCGGCTTCAGGGAGCGGTCTCCGAGGCAGGTGGCGATGACGCAGTTGGCCACGCTATTGAACTGCAGGACCGTGGCACGGATGGTGGGCGCCAGGTGCTCTTTGCCCTTCTTGTCTCGCTGGGACCAGATGCAGCCCAGACAGTGGTAAGGCACCACTTTCTTAAACAGCTCCTGGATATAAAGAGATGGAGCTGGGTCTCTTTGGGGTCCCTGGGAAGGGAACAGGCCAGGAGGAAAAGAAGGATGGGAAGAGACAGGCCTGTGCCCGGGGCAGCAGGTAGGCAGAGCACCCGGCTGCCGAATGAATACTCACAGCATCCATCAGCGTGAACTGTTCTGCCACCATCTCTGGGGAGAAGGAGAGGAAATCTGGCTTCCCGTCCCCAACACCGTTCTCCTCTACCAGCTGGAAGGTGCAGCCACCGTGGTCCACAGCTGTGAGAGACGGCGTGAAGCTGAGCACCACAGCACTGCCACGAGCCGGGGCCCACCCCGACCCACAGCAGCCCTCTGCGGGCACCCACAGCCCACCTCCTGGGCTCTTAACTCCCATCTGGCTTCACACCTCGAGAAACGAGGCCCAGATAAAAGGACAGTCATTTTAAAACTGAACACAAGTGTCTGTAGAGGATTAAAGGCAGATTAGCTAATCCACTCAGAAATCCTGGTTCAGTTGGATTGGCATCCCAGGGTACCTCCATGTAAACGCAGGCAGAATTTAGGGGGGTTCAGCCATGTGGCAAGACCCAAGATTTTGGAGATCCTTGATGCCAACCAGTAGCACTCTCTCCACCTGAAGCCCCAGACAACCCCCTACAAGCCAGGAAAGGACCCCACCTTCCACTTTGGACTCGCTCTGCTCTTGCTGCTGGAACTGGGCCAGCAGGATGCGGGCTCGGCGCTCCAGGTCCGAGCCGGGGATGTTGTGGCGCACGTAGGAGATGAGCTGCTTGAGGCAGGTGAAGTCGGGGGGCTTGCGGAAGTCCTCTGAGTACTGGTCCAGCCAGGCACCGAGGATGGAGGAGATGGTGCTGCGGGGAGAGGGAGAACACAGGCAAGCCTGCGTGAGAATCAGGTGCCACGAGAAACCCACGTGCACGAACACACTCCAGGTACCAGAAACAGCCTCAGATGAGAACTGACAATCTATCAACCAGAGACACCCTTCTCTTGTTCACCCGCAGCACCGTCAGACTTACTTCTTCAGCTCCATCCTCTCGTCCACAGCGTGCCTGGCGTGGTCCCCATTCGCCTGCACGTGGAGTTTGCCGTACCTGGTGGGGCACAGCGAGGAGGCAGTGAGCACCCTGGACTCGGCTGCCTCTCAGCCTCTTCTCCCTCCACATCACCCCCAGCTCTGCCAGCGGGTCGGGATGAACCTCCCACACGCTGTCCCACTCCCCCTACTCTGCCACAGCCCCCGTGTTATGGGAAGCAGCCAGCACTGGCCACCTCACAGCGGGGGTACTGGCTGGAAGGGTTCCAGCTCTCTGGGAAGTTTTGTCCTCCCTGCCCCCAAAACCTTCACGCTGATGGAGTCGGGAGAAGCCCATCAGCCCTCCAAGTCATGGCAGCATATGCTGGGGCTCCCCTGGCTGAGGGGGCTCAGACACCAGCCACCCCCGGCTGCATTTTGGGGCTCAGGGCAGCCTCACCTGTTAAGCAGCAGGTCCAGCACTTGCTTGGTGGTGGCGAAGGCGCGGTAAGTGCACAGGAAGATGGTGACGTAGGTGGAGTCATTGCCCTTGAAGGCTGAAACCAGGTACTCCACCAGCTTCTCCAAGGTCCCAGCTTTTATCGTCCGCACCTTACACGTCTCATAGAGGTTTAAGGCCGACTCATTCTCAAACTGCCGGGACAGGAGCAGAAGTCAGTGGGTTGGGTGAAGACAGACATGTTCAAGTGCAACACGGTCCCAGCAGCTTCAAAAGCCACTGTTCAGGTCTAGGCTGGGACCACGGAGCTGGGGCTCTCGTGACAGGCCTGGGGAAAGGGAAGCTGGGTCTCCTCAGACACCAAATACCCAGCTGAGAAGACTTGAGCATTTAGGAAATCCTAGGAAAGGCCTCAAGGTTGCCAAAATCTAGATGTTGCCCTGATTTGCAAAATGTGGCTTCGGATCGTTTCCTCCACACTCCTTCCCACAGGGCAGAGGCCAGAGAGTGCTCCCATGCCTCGCTCCCAGATAAATACATCATCCCCAGATAAGGCTGGGAAGGATTCCCCCAGGACAGGAGCATATGGGGGAGCAAGAAGAGAGCAAGACAATCAACCCTGCCAAGCCCTGACATCGGGTCACCACATCTCTGGCAGGGAAACATCTGAAGATACCCCGTGGCAGAACTCTGGTGGTGCCTCCCGCTTACCCCCAGCCATCGCTGTCCCTTGTTGGCCGTGTGATGGAGCTGCACTTTCCGGAGCGATATGCTGTAGATCACACCATCCTCCAGCTCTTCTCCAATCTCCTGTGTGGAGCTCTGCATGGGAGGACAAGATACACCATGAGATAAGGAGAGTAAAGCGTGGCAGAGACGCTCTTGCAGGCTCGTACAAGGCATCTCAGCAAGCCAAAAGCAACAGCCGGCAGGCAGCGAGCGTGTCCCTTGCCTGCTCAGAAATGCAAACCAGGCGACACCCATCTTTCTGGCCAGCTTAACCCTGGGCCCATGGGAGCCTGCACACAGGCAGAGCCAGGACTTTGGGAAGCTGCTCTCAGTCTGCTCCGCATCCCCTGGCTCCACATCTCAGCCCTTCTGCAAACCCAGGTTGTGGCAGCGCCGGGTGCGGGGCAGAGCGGGGAGCCCTCGCCGGGCAGCGAGGGGGGCTGGGGGCAGCACACCCCTGGACCCAGCCCGGCTGCTTCCCCCTCCCCAAACCCTCACCTCTCCCATAAAGTGACATTGCTGCCTGGTCTGACCGTAATCTCCATAATCTGTCCCTGCAGGAACTGTCACCTTGGTGCACCTTCGATAATAAATAATAACAACTATGAAACCAAGCCGGCCGCAAGCTTCGGCAGCACTGGCCATGCACACAAGGCAGAAATCCAAGGGGGGAGCTCAAAGCTGGGGGGAAACCCCAGAAAGCGGCACCGGGGTGGGCTCAGGCACAGCCGGGACAGGTCCCTGCACCCCTGGGGACAGGCACCTCGGGGCCACAGCCCAACCCAGCTACGAGGCTTGCACTTCTGCTCTGGGGGATACAGATCGCCCAAAATTTGGTGAGAAAAGAGGAGATGTTTCTCAGGGCAGGTCCTCAGGCACACGCCTCCTCCATATCCCCCCACCCCACGTGCCAGCGCGGGGCTCGGCGGCAGCTCCAGCCCTACAAGGACGATTTGGTTCCCTCCTCCTCTTCCTCCTCTCTCACCACGCTCTGCTGAGTCAGTGCCTCTCTTAAGAGGATTAATCCAGATCCTTTTAAACACCACGGGGATCTCCCCCGCCTTCCATCCCCCACGCCAAATGGTGGGACATGGTGTAACAGGCGGTGAAACCCACTGCTCAGCAGATGGGGAAAATGGCCAAAAGCAATAAGCCGGTTAGCAGGGGGAGGTGACCACGTGCTGGGGCACAGGGGCTCGGGGACGAGTCCCCCCTGTATATCACACTGCCAGGCAGGGGCCAGAGCCAGCCCACGGGTTTTCCTGCAATCAATCTGCCTCTCGGGAGCACAAAAAAATCCCTGAGCAATGGCAACCACGCAGGGCTCGCCGGGGAAGAAGCTGCTGTGGGGATGGAGCCCCAGAAGCAACACTGCTCCCTGCCAAAAATCCTTTTCCCAAACCACCTCCCGTGAAGGTGGGAACAGCCGTACCCAGGGCCCCGCCTTTAGACGACGGTACACATCTCAGGAGACACGGAGCAGAAGGCACCGAACACGCACCTCACCTGCTCTTTAACCACCACCCGGTATCATCCCCGGTGCAGCAGCGGTCGCTGCACCGTTCTCACACCCAGCTCAAGTCAAGGGCTTGTTACTAGCAAGGAATCAAGGCAGGGAACCACAGCCAGCTCCAAGAGTAAGGGGAAAACTTTATAAAGCCTCTTGTTCATGGCTGTAATGAATGAGGACAGAGAATCCCCTTGGGCAGGGTTACTGGATTTCTGCCTCACTTTCTGCTGAACCTGCTCTTCTCACTTCGTGCCAGGCTACCAAGAGGTTTGGTTTGCCGAGGCGTGACAGGTTGTGAGGCCCCTCACTTCAGCGGTGCTGTGAACATCAGAGGTTTTTCCCGGGGTGCACCAGCTTCCAGACCAACCCTGACAGCACCCACACAAGGCGGTGGACAGACAGACACCCTTCTGGATGCCTGCATCAGTCCCCTCTTGTTCTTTGCTCGGGGATAAATTATAGCATATATTTATGTTCAAGTATAAACAGGTCTGAATTTCAAGAACGGAAAAGGCACCCACCAGCACGGCATGTCCTACGCCTTCCTAGAGAGCAAGACATGAAAATGCATCTCCCTTCTGCCTCAATAACTCCCCCAGGTCGATGATGCTGGCTGCTGGGGGTAGCACAGGTCTGAGCCCAGCTTGCCCCCAGCTCAGCTGGCCCAGGCCCAGCCTGGCTGGCAGCCCTGAGCCCCGATGGCTGGCACCACACAGCCTGAACACCAACAGAGGCCCCCGAGCCCACCTGACTCCCCGCTCCTCTGCAGCCCACGTCACATCTGCACTGGGAGCCTCGCCAGAGCGGCCACCCATGACATTGGCACCGGCGTGGGGAAGACGAAGCCATTTAAACACATCAGCAAGGGGGAGGTGAGCTTGGTACGTAGGTAAAAGCACCGGCAGCTGAGAGAGCTGGGCTTCTCCCCCATCACCTCTCCATCTCTCCACCAAAAGCTCACAGGAATGAGGTGCTCCTACACCAGGTGAGTCACCCCCAACCCCACAAGCAGAGATGCCTTAGCCCGGAGTTGGACGTGCTGGCATGGCCTCAGGAGAGAGCTGCCAGCACTGCCAATGCCTTGTGTCCACCCTAGATCAGCCACCCATAGGGACGGTACCTAACTTGAGCCCAAGTCAGCCAAGTTGTGTATCTTCCACCTCTAGATGCCATTTCCAACAAAAAGAAAGGAAACCCATGGGAACTCTTCCCAGTTTGTCCAAAGAGACCATTGGACCCTGGTGCCCACAGCTACGTGCCATCCTCCAGAAGGAACAGCAGTAGATGCCTCTTGAGTGCTCAAGCCCACTGCCCAAGGGGCAGTGCCAGAGCAGGGGCATCACTACCAACAGGGCTCTCTCCCCGTCATTATGCCCCAATCTGCAGATCAGCCCTACCCTGCGTATCTCCCAGCTATGCTGACTTTGGGCTGGAGGAAAGCTCTGGGTCCACCAGGACCAGACCCCTGTACAGTCAGAAAAGATGTTTGACCAGAGAGTTGTAAACCCCAGACACAAATACCAAGAAAAATCAGATGCTTGCTGAGACACAATTAAATTAATAAAGAAATCAAATCACATGGGAGGACAAAATGTCCCAGGATCAATCTGTGAATCAGTGGCAGCTGCTCTGCAACTACAGTGGAAACTATTGCCTGTTAACTGCGCAGGGGTTTTCACTCTGTGTTTCATGTCACGTGCAGAGAATACACTCAATTTTGGTGAAATTGGAAATTTCATTTCCTTCCCATACTCATTCATTTTTTTGTCTTGCTGACTTGTGCAATATCCCCCAAAGTTCCCCCTTTGCAAACCACACACAAAGTACGCAGCTTCCCAGCAGCCTTCAACCAGGCTCATGCCAAGAGCCAGGCAAACTGCTACACTGGTACATTTTAAAATTTGGCTATTTATATTCTGCGTGAGCGTCCTCTTTCCTACCGCTGTTCCTCCAAGATGCTGATTGTGCATTCCGCACATGTTGGTTAAAAACCAACGAAGCAAAAAGCAGCAGCAGGACGGAGACAGTGAAGTCCCACTCCAACACCTGCACCAAATGCATGTTTCTCCCTTTGCAGATCACAGAATCATTCAGGTTGGAAAAGACCCTTGGGATCACCGAGTCCAATCCTCAGCCCGACTCTACAAAGTTCTCCCCTACCCCACATCCCCCAACAGCTCATCTAAACGACCCTTAAACACCCCCAGGGATGGGGACTCCACCCCCTCCCTGGGCAGCCTGTGCCACTCTCGGACCACTCTTTCTGTGAAAAACTGTGAAGATGAGGAGACATGAGGTGGGAGCAGGGCTGGGACACAAAACCTTGACCTGTGGCTTATGCATGTGCTGGCCACCAAGAACGCTGCAATCCTAAATCTGGCACTCACACCAGGACTTCAGCAAGTCAACTGAAGATGAAGGCCTTCAAAACTGTCTCTAAAGAGCTCTGACAGACAAGGGCTGGTAAAAATTACTGCAACAGCCACTGCTCCCTGTTGCCTGCCCTACACATCTGCTGGAGTTTTGTGCCCCTCGTAGCAGGAGGGAACACGAGCCTCAGCCAGCACAGCTGCAGCCCAGCACTCACATGCAAACCCTCCTACATCGGTGGTTCAGCCTGAGTGATGTGATGAGCACCGTGCCATGGCAGAGGTACAGGTAAACAGTCCCTTCCGCTCCCTGCATCGCCTTGGCAGAAGAGATGAGTCCAACAGGCCCAGACAGGGCTTTAAACGGCTGCAACAAGATTCAGCAAAACTCTTCTGTCAAATCACTGACTTTGAGCACGCTGATGGTTACGGGATTTGCACCTTCCACCAAACTCATGCAGAAGGGACTCACCACCCCAGAAGGGGAGATCCAATGCGTTTCAAGATGGGCACCAAAAAAGGGAAGACGTAGAAAATGAACCTTTGCCCGTGATTTCTCCAACTCGATGTGCACTACTATAGACCAGGAAAAAGGCCTCTCAATGGAGGGGCACAGGGAAAAACCACATGTTTAACTTAGGGGTATCAGACGCCCAGTTCTGCAGAGTCGGAGGCTTTTGCAAAAGCAGCCGTAAGTGAACTCTGCAGGAGTTCATCCCCTGAAATATGAAACTGGAGGTCTGCACCAGATGGCTTGCCTGGTTTTAGAGACCGCCTCTTCCAACTGCAGATAGCCCCGGGCTGCGTGAGCAACGAGCTCCCCAGAGCTCCCCACCGATGGTTCAAAGCATTGGTGACTACACCGGGGAAGAATTCCTGCTCCGTGCAATAAACTCTTTTACTCTCTGGTGAATGTTCTAGCACACGGTGGCGCGGTGTCGAACCCCACGTCTTCACACGGAGTTTTAATAACGAGCTCGAAGACGCAGCCAAGGCTCGCAGGCCTGGAGGAAGGGCTGTGGTGTGAGGGACCCTCGCAGGAGCCAGGCGGGGAGCAGCAGGGAATCTGCCTTCATCTCTTCTCACGGGCTGAAGGGAAGGGAAAATGCAAAAGCCAAAGAGCAAAGCAAAATATTGGCTAGGGATCTGCATTTTTAGAAAGCGTTTGAGATCAGTCACAAAGGTGTTTTTTTGCAAGACGGGAGCAAAGCACA